AAATTTGAATAGAGCAACTGAGAGCATCTTCCAAGGGTTGGGAAGTCTTCACATCATCTGGTTTAGTACCTGTGTTCAAACCTCCCAGCTACATTGGGTTTTCACATCAATCCCTCACCCTCTAGCCGTGGCCATCTCCTCCCCTGGACCATGTGACTTCCAACACAGAAATCCCTGCCCAGAGAAAGAGGAAGGAGGGACCCAGAGGCTCTGCGTCGTTGGGCCCACTGAGGGTCCCATGCCTGTTTCCTGGTACACCAATGATCTGAGGGGACCTCAGGGAACAATGCTCCCTCCTACCCCAAGGAGATAGCTGCAGCGACAGACCTGACACCTGGACTGTCATGGTGACCTGGCTTCCATCCATGACCTTGAGGTCAGAGAGGCCTTGCAGGAAACGGGGCGCAGCGGGCTTGCTGGGGGCCGTGGGCAGAAGGTACTCACTCTTCCTGTCACTCTTCTTTTCTGTGTGGCAGACAACAGACGTGGGATCAACATTTGTCCATTCGTTTGACAAACACAGACTAAGTGACCCCTGGGCAGCGGACTGCCAGGCTCCGCTCCCCCTAGAAACTGACCACCGAGAGAGGAGTGTGGGGAGGCCCTGGAATCCGCTGGGGACTAGGCGTGCCTGCTTCCCTGCCTGATGTGGCCGTGCTCTTGCCAGACAGCAGGGAAAGAACAAGGCCCTGCAGGGCCCAATCCAGGTTCTGGTTCCTCAGGAGAAAGTCACGGGGGTGAGAGGGCATCTTATGAGATTGTGTTTTTCTTAAATTTATTTACTTTTTTAAACAAAGGACACCCTCGTGTGACACAAAAGGTACTGAAGGGTACATGTAACGTCTCCCTTCCATCCCGTCCTCCAGCCATCAAGTGTCTATCTCTCCCCAGAGGCAACCGATTTTCAGTTTCTTGCTCATCTTACCAGAGGGGATCTATGTGTATAACACAAGCAAAAGGCACACTCTTTTATTTCCTCCTCTTAAAAAAATGGCAGCACAGTGCACACAATGACTGGCATCTTGCTTTTTCACTTAGCCATGTATCTTGAGGTCTCTTGTAAAATAGAACTGAAGAGCTTCCTCATTGTTTTCTGTGACTGCATGATGCTCCGTTGCCCTGTCATGAGATTTTAAGCACCCAAGAAAGCCAAAGACATAACATGCACTGGAATGACTAAAATTGAAAAGACCGATCACCCTAAGCACTGCTGCGGTGGGGTGTGGAGCAACGGGGAGCTCATAGAATGCTGTGGGGGTGTAATTCGGAACACACCCCTTTGAAAGCAGTTTGGCAGTTTCTTAAAGAGTTAAACATACATTTACAATATGATCCAGTGATTCTACTCTTGGCTACTTATACAAGAGAAGTGGGAGCACATATTTATTCAAAGACTTGTCCACAAACGTCCATAGCAGCTTTATTATTAATGGCCCTAAACTGAAGACAACCTATCGACAAGTGAATGAATAGACAAATGGTGATTTAGCCATACAACGGAATACTACTCAGCAAAAAGGAATGGATTCATGATAGACACTAGCGCTACGACAGGGACAAATCTCACAAAAAATTACAATGAATAAAGGGAACCAGACAAAGAAAGAGTACATACTGGATGATTCCATTTACATAAAATGCTAGGAAATGTAAAATACAGTGACAAAAATGGTTGGAGGGATGGACTATAAAGGGGCATGAAGAAGCATTTGGGGTGATGGAATGATGGAGAAGTCAGTGGTGAAGGTTTTATAGGTGAAGGTTTTATAGGTGAAGGTTTCAAATTAAATAGCATAAATATATGCAGTTTATTGTACATCAATATTACCTCAGTAACAATGGGGAGAGGGGCAGGGGTCTCTCTCTCTCTCTCTCTCTCTCAGAGGGAGAGAATGCACCAGCTAGTCAAAGACATAAACTAGATAAGTCTTTGGGTTCAGGGCTGGCCCACTCATTCCCACTCATCTTTCTGTGGAGATGGATTGACAAACAGGCTTTCCATTATTCTCGGAAGCAGGGCTGTGACCTGCCTCATGGGAGCCGAAGGGGAAGGGCAGCAAAGGGCCTGAGCTGGAGTCTACTACCCACCCAGGACAGCCTGGTGCACAATGAGCTCATGGCTGCCCCGTCTCTGATCTTGGCCTCTGTCCTGCCAGCCAGGTGGCTGTGACCTTCGATAATTCTTTTTGCTAGTTTTATTATTTTTGCCTTTTGGTGGGGCAGGGGCAAGGGCAGAGAGGGCTATGGTATCTCTAACTCAGACACTAAGCTTAGGGGAAAGGGGACTCTGGTATGTTGGCTCCTTTTGGCCCAATACCAGGGTCACCAATACCAGGTCTCCAGGAAGCCGGCGGCGTGGGATACACGTCCCGGGTGCTTCCCATACCCGGGAGAGGCCTCCATATTTGCCAATGAATTTTTATCTGTTGGTCCTGAAAACAAAATACAGCCCACTGCACAGCTCTGCCAGCCCAGCCTCTGGGAGTGACGATGGGAAGGCCTAGGTCCTAGGCCCTAGGAGGCTGGAGGAAAATCCCCATCGGGTGCCCTGTGAAGGGCATGGAGCTGAAGAGCAGGGCGGCCGAGCAGGGAAACCCTGTAGCCCATGAGGAGAGCACAGGCTCTCAGGCCCCTGCTCCCTGCCCCAGCCCGCGGCATTGCTGCCTTTGACAGAGGGGCAGCCAGGCGGCAGGCAGGAGGCCCGGGAGGGGCTGGGCCCAGCACTGGAGGTGCAGAGACCCCGGTGCTCTGACTGGGCGGCAGTGGCCAGGAAAGCGGGCTGCCTCGGGAGAGTTGAGGAATTTCCTGTCATGCACAGACCGAAAGGCTTGAGGACAACATGTTTTCGCCTGTCCGGAGCCCTTCCCGTTCCCGCCTCCCTGCTCTCTGCCAGAGTCCCAGCCCCACAGAGCTCCTGGCAGATGCACCCTTGTTCCTCAGCCACCCCCGCCCCCATCCTCTCTGGGGTCTTCCCTGCCCACTGCCCTGACCTGGGGCTTTGACAGCCTATGGGTCTCGGCCAATGGGAACGTGAAGCATATCTGTGCCTCTCTCTCCTGAGAGGTGCCTGTCTCCCCCCGCCCCCCCCCCCCCCCCC